CAAAATCCAAAAACACTTAATCATTATTCAAACTCATTTCACAATTAACAAAAATACTCAATGTAATACGGTGAGAGAACTGACTTTTAATGGTTTTTCATTTTTTATTTGCAAATGTTGCAGTAGGCAAGAGTCGCCACCGACTTTTCTTTTATCCAACAAAGGAAAGGGTGAAAAGAACAGAAAAAGACCTTTCGAGATTATTTCTGAGTAAGGGGGTAGATTATGGAAAGGGAAGGTGTTAGCACCCTTTCCATCCGTAGTTATCTACGGGATCTTAGTTGCTAGCTCATTTGAAAATGCCTTGTGTTTGTGCGTTTGAAAAAAGTATTTTGAAAAGACACCTTAGTGCGGAGAACTTTATAATGCTTCTCGTGTTTTGGAGAACGTATACAAAGTGTCTTTAAAAATATTTTTTAGAAAAGAGTGTACGTGTGGAAATTTTTTTTATTTGAGCAAGCATCTAAGAACTATCTACCTACTCGAAAAGGTTTGTTATTTTCCTCTTTTCCTTTAGACAGTGATATCCTACTTTTAGTGAGTAGGTAGTCTTATCATTGGATGTTTGAGGGACAATTGAAGGATATCGTACAGTCATAAAGGCAACTTGGTGAGATACCTTAGTAACCACCCTAAAGTCTTAAGATCATACTGAGGCAACATCGAGAGGGTCATTTTTGTGATCTTTAAACCAGAGGGTAGCCACTAAAATCTCTCACATCGAGAGTTATCACTGTTTTATTACAAAGGCAACCAAAGTGGGAGTACCCTAGAGGTGTGCATGTGCGAGTATGTTGTATTCAGTTATTTTTCTTTGATGTTAGGTTTGCTAACAATTTGTTTTTTATTTTTACCATGCAATCCTATTAGACATACATCTAACAGTTCAATATCAGTGTGAGAAATTAAACCTAACTATTATATGGCTTCGGGGAGCAGGAAATTACAAGTTCAAAATTAAGGATAAAGACAGTAAATAAAATCCTAGTTTTTAACTATTACAAACGCGGGGGGGGGGGGGGGGGGGGGGGGGGGGGGGGGGGGGGGGGGGGGCAAATATATTAATAATATGAAAAGTAACAAATGCGCAAGGATTAAAAAAAAGAACGTCTAAAAACCCTAAAAAGTTCTAAGGGCATTAAGACAATTTTTGTTGTTTATGTTTATTTTAGAAGAAGTGTTTAAATTAAAATTAATTGAATAAATAAAAAAAATAAAAAAAAGTGATTAGAAATAAACCTAAAAAGAAATTAACTCTAATATATTTTTGTATTCTTATTATTGAGAAAATATTTGAAATTAATTAATCCTATGTCTATTGATTTTAAATTAAATAAAAAAAGGGTTAAGATAATTATAAATTAATTTACAAAAATTAAATTTAATTAAAGAAAAAAAACTAAACCTAATATTTTTTATGATTTTATGAGTTTCTGATTAAATAATAAAAAAATTAAAAGAAAAATTAATTAAAACAAATAAAAAAAGAAATAGGAAAATGGGTCTGCTGTTGAAGCAATTTGGGGGGGTGAGATTGAAATTTCGCTAGGCCCATATTGCAGCTAGCCCAAGGTCCTGTATGGATCCCATGTTGCTGGTTCTTGAAGGTGCATCATGGAGACTTTCTCTAGATTGTGAATTTGGATTGGATGGAGATCAATTGGCTATGAAATGAGACACATTTCGCATACGTTGCGCCTGCGCTATACTGGATCTGAAATGCAATTGTTAGAAAAATATAACTCAAGACCTGGGGATAGAACCCGGGCCTTCCAAGATTACACGCACACTCTTCACCACCAAGCCATTTACTCATTCGTTATTTTAAAAAAAGAAATAATAATATATTCTAAAATTAATCAGAAATATAAAAAAATAAAACGCGCGCGCTATCAATTCAAATGAGCCAATGAGGAGACAACGCGTTGGTCGTAGGATTCAACCCATCGGAGTCAACATTCCGGTTGTCTTCTCCGGTGGGTTCGAAACCATATCCTGAAAAATAGGCACAATCGATGGATCAAAATACCCCTACTCCCCTTAAAATGATGCCCTGAGTCCGAATCTGGTCTTATTTTTGACTAAAAGTCTCTAGATTTTTCATTCCAAAGCAAATCTTTCGATCGAGGTTGAAAATGGCATCCTGCTGTAGCGGTAGAAATGTTTAAGACTAAGTCATTGGATTGACTAGACTTATACAGATCAAAATAAAAAATTGCTACTGCGCTTTATTGTTTCCAAAGGAATGGGAAAAGAGTGAGTAACCCAAAAAGAGGGGAAAAGATTCTAGGTAAGGGGGTTGGTTATGCAAAGGGAAGGTATTAGCACCCTAAACATCTATGATACTCTGTAGGAACCTCTTTGTAAAATCTGTATATTTTGACTATAAAATGTTGTATGTAAAATAGATGGTGGAGGTGAGAAAAGAAATATATTTTTTATGATTTTTGCACCCGCCGCGGTTGTGAATCTTTAGTGCCTACGTACCACCTTTCATGCAATAAGGGATCAGGGTACACGTAGTTCACCTTTAAATATTTTAAAACATAAGTGTGTTGGTTAATTTTATGAGATAAGACATCATTGTCATTGTCCGTGTGGAAAACATACTTACTACCTACAATTATGAGAAAGGAGAATTTGCGTCATCTCAAAGTGGAGGATATGGCTTGAATTTTAAAATCAATAATGCCTCACTCAACACCCAAGTGGAAAATATCTCACTTCACTATATATCGTAGAAGTATAGTTGTTTGCATCACTACAAGGATTGATAAGAGTCTAATCTTTTGAGAAAATTTTGAAGTAAGAGCCAAAATGGCAAAATGGTTTGAATGAGATTGATTGACTTTTAGTCTTCTCACAAAAAATGTCAATTATTGTTAATTTGATTGAAGTTTGATTATGAAATATTTTTTTGAAAATGCATGGACATAAGTCCAAGTTTATTATGAAAGCAGTTAAGTTTATAAACAAAAAGCTTTTGAAAAAAGATGAGAAGGTTTTGAAAATTAAAGAAAGAGAGAAAAGAATGTCCTATGTACAGGAAGGTGAATGGTAAGGTAAAGAGAATCTGACCGAATAAAAAACCAGTACTTGACATGATGAAGTCAATACTATATTCCCATTCCTTTGGGGTTTAAAGCCACAAAAAGAAAAAGATAAGCTAAGAGTATACCAAACCTCAGGTGAAAATAAATCACAAGCTGACAGCATCAAAAAACCATATGTAAGATAATACTCCAAGCAGCGAATAAAGCACATTCAATCAGAAGCGAGAGGTGTGACACGTGAAAATAAACCACGGATAAAGAAATCATGGATGAAGCTCACGGTACCGAATAAGATTCAAGATATTAAAAATACAACTCACGGCATCAGAGAAAAATCCCTGCATCACATGAAATATATCGACAAAACTAACAGCACAGGAAAAAATGTAAGCGTCTGTATGATTTTAAGAATTTAATTCGAATTAAAGTTTAAAATTGTAACGCAATAAAAATATTATTTACATAGCCAGAAGTTATTTACAAATGAAGTGAATAAAATATACAGTCAAAATATTATGTACAAGCATATATTTACAGTACCAAATATTAAATCGGAATAGTAAAGTAAATAACACAATAAAAAGGAAACGAAGAAGAAATTATATGCACTATGCGAGAATGAATTGCTTGAAACAATTATCGGAAACCTTCACCATAAACACACTCGTCAGTAGCATAAGCGGTATGAAATAAAATGAAGGAAATTGCAACAATTAAAATCTATGTTAGTAATCACAAGTATGAAATTGAAATGAAATTGCATGAATTCACATGAACAAATGAATATTTACACAGATAAAAAACAAGAATTCGTTCTGTAATTCAATTCAAATCTGATACATGAAAAATCAAACTTAAATATGCAAATCAAAAGTTGGACAGCATAAAATCTCATGAAAAATCAATTTCCAAGCTTATGTACAAACACCAATATTAACCAACAAATTTTTGTGAATCGAATACAAATTGAAACATCATCAAAAATCACCTTTAAATGGCTTAAACAACATGACAGCATCAACACCGATAATTTAATCAACTCGTGCTATTTTCATATTAAGTCCAAAAGTGATTAAAAATGAGTTTTGAATCAAAGTTTCGGCAAGAATAAATCCGGACAACAACTACAAATTTCATGGACTTAAAATCTCAAAACAAAAATCAAATGTTCATTCCATTTATGAGTATTAAAAAAACAATTAGCATCTATTCACGTGCTACTCAAAACATGTTCAAAACATGGAAAACCAATTGGAATCATGCCATATCAAATTGAAAAAAAAAACGGGCAGCAACTCTATTAAACTATTATGTCCCCAAAATTCTAATTCAAACATGGTTTGTAACAAAAGGAAATAGCACACTATCTTAACTAGTTTTTCGGTTAGATTTATACGCAAATAAAATGCGGCATTATCGTCACCTTCATCGAAATATAAAGCAATATCAAGACTTAAATTGTTGTCTGAATTAAAGCCAATATGAACACAAACATTGAACAACAATCTTTATTCTCTTATCCAAAATGCAGCAGCCATTTAACAATATGATGCTCAAATCAAAGCTTCAATCAAATTTAAACAATTTCAACATACACCAACAAAACGCAATTGATACCAACCCCTTATCACATTTCGACATATCCTAAACACGTATTGTCAAGCATATTTCCTGGACATTTTCAGTAGCATATCATTTCAAAAAGCACTTCCACATAATAATTCAAGTGAAACAAAATTGATATCAGAACCAAAAATTCAGATCCAACCAGTATAACACAGATAACACATCTAACACAAATGACTCAAATAGCATTATCTTTCGTCACAGATAACAGCAATGCTAACTGGAGTTCAACATTAAAAATAGTACTGAAGATTATTATCCAAAATTTGATGTTCAACTTCACACAGATAAAACAAACAGGAATTACCAATCAGTATTGAATCAAAACAAATGAGTTAAGGGTTGATACAAATGTTTACCGAATGAAAGCTGATGAACGAGCTCAGAGGTGAAGCTGCTCTTTGTTGTTGTTGAACTGAGATGGATGGATGTACTGGCGGAAGAATTTGATGCGAAACAGCGGAAGCTTGCGGAATCGGTGTTTTGACGGAGGGTTACGTTGTTGTGCATTATGAGCGGAATGCGGATGTGAGCAGAAACGGAAGGAGATGTTGATGATGGTTGGAGCGGAAGGTTGAAGGGGAAGAAAATAGGAGCGGTGATGTACAGAGGTGAAGTGGTGGTGGGTTGCTAGCGGAGAGTAGTTATAATTGAAGAAGGATGTTAACAATTGAATTGAAGAGATGAATTTGGGTTATTTGTGCGCGGAAAGAGGGAGAGGAAAGGGGAGTTACTGCTAGTAGAAAAAGAGAGAAGAGATATTACTGCTATTTGCCTTTTCTTGTTTTTTGTTTCTACAAAGTGTAATGAGCTACTTAAATAGAAAAAATGATGAGAAAATTGTGATTTCAAAATTAGTTCGATCGTTCATTATTTTCAATTTCGTATCAATCTGTAACTATTTGCTATCAACCAATAGGAAAAAAGAAAAGTGTAATTAATATTTTTTATGATAAAAATGCCCTTAAATGATAAAAATGAAATAAAAAACTGAAACTATAAAATATAACACAATTTAAAATAATTTTTTTGAATTTTTTCTGAATTAAAAATAAAGACCCAAAATAACTAAAAACGATAAAAAACGGACGAAAGTTTATTCGAAAAAATAAAATGAACACATTAAAATAAACTACATGTCACAAAGATTAAAGAAAAAATATTCAAAAAGTCAAAATCGAAATAAAATAAGAATAAAAATATCAGGCTGAACAGACGTTTACGGTTAAAAACGAGAATTCAAACTGTACCGAAAAAATAAAGCGAGCATACTGCCATAATCTACGTGAAACGCAGATTCATAAAATGATCGGTAAAAGGTGAAAACTTGAAATATTTTTCTCGCTCATTTTCCGTACAATGTCGAATCACTTTTAACAGTCTGTCTGTAAAACTAAAATATTTTTATTATCGACATATAAATAACTTGGAGCAATGCAAGAAAAGAGTAAACATATAAAATGCATGAAGTGAAATGTTAGATATTTTACAACTCAAAACGGTGCAAATGTCGATTTAAACAGACTTTTGGTCAGCTTAAACACGAGTGGATGACGCAAATATGCTGAATGAAACTATTTATTAATGATTGTGACCAAATAGCAAAATATGATATGAAATTGGGACACAAAAAATTAGAGGCGAAATTTAAGGTGCAACCGCTGAAATCATTTGAGAAACCTTTTGAAGCAAAGTTGTCCCTCACATCATTAGCTTTTGACTTGTAAAGAGAAGTTGGAGATGACATCAAGGAGACTCATATGCTCGATGAATCTCTTAAAAAAATATTGATCAATAAGGATGTTATGATCATTTGAACTCAAACTGGCAAACGATGACTTTTGATCTGACAACTTCAAATCAACTCGTGAACTTGATCTTTTTCACAGCCCAAGACATTATTAATCACATATGAACTTGAGACGTCGAAGAAGGCATGAAAATAAACACATGAACCTATCTCGAAGAATCTTGAGAATTAAGCAACCAGACTCGTCTTAACCATGCTGAACGAAACTTGAGGATAACGCGACCTAAGATTATAGATCATCGCTTTGAGCCATAGGCTTTTGGGAACTATTTTGGCTTGAACTAACCATAACCCCAACCGGAGAGTCATCAATTGGACTTCTTGGTCGCAAACCTTGTCTTTCAAGACACAAAACAGACAAAACATATTTTGGAATTTTAGTCAGAAGTCAATAAAATATAAAATACATATATACGAGGCACACGATTCAAAGTGCTTGGTGACCTCTTAGCAGCAAACTTAAAGATAAGACACCGCAGAAGAAGCAACCAAACCCTAATGCATGATCTTGTGTATTGATAGTATGAAATGATATAGGAATATTATGGGGGAAAATTGGGGTAGAACAACTGCCCTAATTTAAGTTTCTTCTATCCGGATATGCGGAGGTTAAAAATCTTCGTGTCGACGCGATTGAAGATACTTAAATATAAAACAAGCCCTATTTTTGGCCCTAAGATGCCATGCAATGCTTATGATTATGAATGCAGATGAAAAAATTCAAAAGGACACAAGACACCATTGGGGATGTAGCAAAGGAAACAAGGATCAAAAGAGAAACACGACCAGGAAAACAAATCACTAGTGAACAAAAGACCTGACTTTATTGGGGGAAATCCCAAAGAGGGGATAAGGTAGCATCAACTCAGCTAAAGAGGAAATAGTACAGGATAAAAGTGATTAACAACCAACTGTGAACTACCACTCAATAGTCGAAGGTAGAAGATCAAAAAGATACCGACTCATAGATGATGGTAAAAGATCAAAGGATACACCAACTTTCACTGAAGGCGAAACTACCAACGTTCACTGAAGGTAGAAAGAGAAAAGAATAATAACACTGACGTTCACTGACAGTGAGCTACCAACGTTCACTGAAGGTAGAAAGAAAGCAATAATCACCAGCGTTCACTGAAGGTGAGCTACCCAATCATTACTCCATTCCCAATCATTAAGATAAAATTGTTGAAAGGCGGTATATTCCCTGGTTGTAATGAAGACTTCCACCTATGCTTATCCTCACCAACTGATTGCCCTTTGTTGAAAACAGGCATTCAGCGCTTGATAGACAACAAAGAGATTATGTTTGAAAGTACTCATGTTTCACCTGTTCCTATTGAAGATGTTTCAATCATTACCATCTCCTCCAATTCTTCCAGGGTCCCCAAAAGACCTGTTAGAATTACATCGGTTCCAAAAACTACTCCTCTTATAATCACAATGCCTGGGCCAGTCCCATATGAATCAGACAAAACTGTGCCATGGAATTACGGTGGGGACATTTACTACCATGGCATCAAACAAGATGGGCTAGCCGTCGAAGAGATAAACTCCGAAGAAGAAGATTCCTACATTAGCAATATTGTCGGAACTAGTAAAGTTACCCGAAGCGGTAGGATATTTTCTCCAGAAATTTCCCCCCCAAAGGCAGTTTTTGGACCCGTGGCTGCTCCAAATATTACTCCCGTACCCATAATCATCTCTGCAAGTGCCCCTATTGATGAAGCCGTTATAACACATGATGTCATTCCTACCAACACTCCTACTACTGAAATTCGAGGAAAAATTCAAGTGGAGCCTGTCCAAACGAAGGCTCAATCACTGACTATCCCCGAGACATCCAAGAAAGAAATGGAGGAGATCCTAAAAATTATAAAAAGGAGCGACTACGATGTAGTTGAACAGTTGGGGAAAACTCCCTCCAAAATCTCCATGCTGGAATTACTATTGTGTTTTGAGGCACATGCGAAAGCCTTGGTGAAGTTCCTAAAAACAGCCCATGTGCCTCAAGAGACGTCTGCTGATCAATTTTAAGATTGCGTAGCCAGTTTGACAGCGGATAACGGCCTAGGTTTCTCGGATGCTGATCTGACACCAAGGGGAAGAAAACACAACGAGGCATTACATGTCTCTGTGGAATGTAGGGGCACCACTTTGGCCCATGTCTTAGCGGACACTGGCTCATCTTTGAATGTCTTACCGAAAAAAGCTCTTGACAGACTTGACAGCGAAGGACTGACGTTAAAGCCAAGTAACATAGTAGTAAGGGCATTTGATGGCTCAAATAGGATGGTACATGGGGAGGTGGATATCCCCATAAAGGTTGGGACTCAAACTTTCAATTCAACCTTTTATGTAATGGACATCCGCCCCTCTTACTCTTGTCTGCTAGGACGACTATGGATCCATAATGTTGGCGCTGTCACCTCTACATTGCACCAGATGTTGAAATATCTGGTTCAATGAAAGATTATAACTGTCCACGGAGAGGAAGAATACATGATTAGCCATCTCAATTCCTTCAGATATGTGGAATTAGACGGTGAGTTCATTGAAAATCCTTTTCAACACTTCTAAGAGGTCCCCCAAGAGGTTGCAGTGACCAAGACTGTGTCCAAGATTCCCAAGATTACAAGACATCCACTCCGGATGTCATCTCTGAAGGACGCCAAAGCAGTAGTAGAGGAAGGTGGATGAACCATCTGGGGGCAACTTCTGGATATCTCGTATAAGTCTGACAAGTTTGGCTTAGGTTTCACTTCAAGTGCTTAGAAGGTTGTACGTCGTGCCCGTGCTGGAGGGCCACCCTTGAAGATTAGCAACCGAGAGGTCAATGTGGTAGAAGATGGTGAAGAGGATTGCAGCTTGGAGGATTGGATCTTTCCGACTATCAATGGAGGACTCCGCAATTGGGAGGCCAGAGACTTTGTCCCAATAACTTTCATCCCTCAGTAATTTATCTTTACATTTTGTTGGATCTGTATTATTCAAAAACAATTTGCACTCTTAAAACCTTGTGTCTTGCCCGAGGCACAATGGTCCATTTGTAAGGGTTATTATTTCATCTTCATATGACACTCAATGAATCATGGACGTTTTTCGCATACAAACTATTATTATCATTGTTTTTCTTTTACATTTTATTTTTAAGGATGGCTATACCCTTACGCACACCCACACTCACAAATGCAGGTACCCCTCCATTCTGGATCCCATGGGTAACGATACTGCTATGGCCTTTTGTAACTCTGAGGATCTAATTTACCAAGCCAAAGACGAAGGTGAGGAAGATTGTGAAGTACCAGGGGAACTTGCCAGACTACTACAACAAGAGGAAAGAACCATCCAGCCTCACGAGGAACCTGTGGATACAATCAACCTGGGTACCGAGGAGGATAAAAAAGAGGTCAAGGTAGGTGCCAATCTGGAACCCAGTGTCAAGGAGCGTCTGATTCAGCTGTTGCATGACTATGTTGAAATCTTTGCCTGGTCATATGAAGACATGCCAGGACTTGATACGGACATCATGGTACATCGTCTGCCTACAAGAGAAGATTGTCCGCCAGTAAAACAAAAAGTCCGCCGCATGAGACCTAATATGTCAGAAAAGATCAAAGCGGAGGTCATGAAGCAATTCAATGCTGGATTCTTGGCTGTCACTTCCTACCCTCAATGGGTTGCCAACATCGTTCCTGTACCT